ATTTAAAATCAAACTAAAAATAGACTAATAAAAACGGATTCGTAATTTGAATGCATGCTATAGTAACTAAAATATAAGACTAAAATCTCTCTGAAACCAAAATGTCAACATCAAAGGAGCCTATGGGAGTGGAAAATTCTGCGGTTGATCTACTGATAATGTGCAAATTAAAGAATAAAGACGCAGACAGATCATTTCCATAATGACCAACACAATCTACTATAATCAGTGCAAATTAGCATAGAGTCGCAAACAAGCAGAGATGATAATCAAGTGCGGGTCATTTATTAACAACACAGGTGCGTAATGGCTTAAGACTTGCTTTTTTGGGCATTAAACAATGGCACAAATAGCAGTAAATTGACAGCCACAAACTTTAGTAAATCACTAAGCATGATTTATTTAAACCCTAAATTTTGCGTCTGAAAGGGAAACTCCTACAAATGCATATGCAGTAAGGTCAGCTGCAAAAATAACTGTCTCCATGCCATATAGGGATTAACAACCTCAAAACACATAGTAGGTAACATAAGTTATTGTTTAAAAAAATCAATTTCCCTATGGAGAACATGAATGGCGTTTTTACTTCCATAACCTGACCGTTGCACTTCATTGCCATACTAGAATCTTATGCTGTCACCAACCAATTTTTCAACCCAACTGAAATCCCTCCACACACTCCGTTCTCAGACAAAGATGTGTACCGTCAGTCAATTCGTGCCCTATCTCCAACAGTCAAGAAGATTGATTCAGAGGAAAGTGCCCTCACTTTAGCCATCAAGCCAACCCTCAAGTGCCAGTATCTATCCTGAGACCGATCTAGATTAACTCACTTTTAACTATGAACTATGTTCATCACTCCTCAAAGACATCAATCCCAGAGGCAGTTGGAAGTATGCCACAGACAATTGTGGATACGTGCCATTATTAGAACCCAGGAGACGATTAGGAAGAGAGAGAGGGAGTTGTTTGCAAGTCCAGGCAAACTCTTGTTCAAAGGGATAATTCACCCAAAAATGAAAATGCTGTCATTAATTACTCACCCTCATGTTGTTCCAAACCTGTAAGACCTCCGTTCATCTTCGGAACACAAATTAAGATATTTTTGATGAAATCCAAGAGCTTTCTGACCCTGCATAGACAGCAACACAACTGAAATGTTTCCAGACCCAGAAACGTAGTAAGGATATCTGTAAAACAGTCTATGTGACATCAGTTGCTCAACTTCAATTTTGTGAAGCTATGAGAATACTTTTTGTGTGCAAAGAAAACAAAAATTACATAATTTATTCAACAATTCGAATAAATGCGCACACTTTCTCCTGAACGTAAACAACGCTGATTACGCATTGATTATGCGTCATGATACTCTCCAAAATGGCGGAAGATGGTAACTCGAGGAGAAGAATTGTTGAATAAATTATGTTATTTTTGTCATCTTTGCGCACAAAAAGTATTCTCATAGCTTTTCAAAATTTGAAGTTGAGCCACTGATGTCACATGGACTGTTTTATCAATGTCCTTATAAGTTTCTGGGTCTGGGAACATTTCAGTTGTGTTGCTGTCTATGCAGGGTCAGAGAGCTCTCAGATGTCATCAAAAAAGATCTTAATTTGTGTTCCGAAGATGAACGTAGGTCTTATGGGTTTGGAACAACATGACGGTGAGTAATTAATGACAGAATTGTAATTTTTGGGTGAGCTAACCCTTTAAGTCCTGAACCTTCTGAGAGATATTGATGGCATGCTTTCGGTGTGTCTCGTCTGTAGTTGTGCAATTACCCCCTTCCCATTGTTTAACCTGTCCCACCCTTTCTTGTCCCCCTTCTTCCCTGAAGTGTTCTTCATTCTCTATTCCCATAATGCTCTAGTGGTTTCCAAGGGAGACACAGGTGCCCTCAGTGTCCTCTTAATAACCACCACGCACCTTATAGACACAAACACAAGGTCCCCTAAACCCTCCACATCTGCATCCCCAATTCCAGCTTCCCATCCTCTGTCCGAGTCGCAAGACACCGAGCAAACCCCTTGTGCCACGTCCACACGCAACACTTTGCGCATGTCTATTGTGATGTGTGTTCACCGGAGGGCTGATGGCGGTAGAAGGAGAACAGTCTTATAACATATGATGCTATCTCTGACTGTTTTCTAAACTAGGTGTCAATTCACAACAGGCTTCAGACGTACCAGCTCAACGC